TATATTTACCCATAAAATAACCTTGGTGTCTATTTTATTGGGGCCGGTAAAATAGCCAGTTCATATTTATGTTGTTGTTTATGCTAAACTTACTCTGTACAAGGCACGAAATCCACTCAAGGTAGATTGAATGATTGACTTATCAATCTTTTACAGGCTTTTTTAAACAGAACATATTTGTAGATTATGTGGATCTTTTTGAGGATAATAATTATTCACTGATAAAAGTTCTCGTCTGCAGTGCTTGCAAGCGTGTCCCCCGAAACGCATTTTGAAAGTGATCTTCTGCTCTGAGCACCTAGCCATGGATTAAGACGGGTTGGTCGCCCAGTAACCGCCTAAACTGACCAACTGTCATGACACAGAATGTCACCCTAACGAACTTCCAACCTTCATGCAGTATCCTTTTATTCTTGTAAATTCGCATTCCTTAATTCATACGAAGCCAGACCAGGACCAATAATATTGCTGACTCTTAACTGGATTTTATCAAGGAGCTTAAGGTAAATAGCAGGGGCACCGGACCGTATGTGGCAGCAATATTCTAAGCGTGGACGAATAGTAGACTTATAAATATGTAAGATAGATTCTGGAGGGAATAAATTGTCTCACCCGACACAGTGAACCGACTTTCTTAGCAGCTGACCTAGCAATGGATACAATATAGTATTTCCACTTCATATCAACAGAACAATTTCCTTGAGGTTAGCATCATAGAAATTTACATCCATTTAATCAATTTGTATTCTTTTATTCATATGAATTTGTATTCCTTTATTCATATAAATTTGTCTTTTAATTTTATAAATTTGTATTCCTTTATTCATATAAACTTGTATTCCTTTATTTATATAAACTTGTATTCCTTTCATATAACATTTTTAATTTTTTATTCATATAAATCTGTATCCTTTTATTCTTGTGAATTCGCATTCCTTAATCAATTTGTATTCTTTGATTCTTATGAATATGTAGTCATTCATTAATATATATCTGTGTTCTATAATTCATATTAATTGTTATTCTTTTATTCGCATAAATTTCAATTTTGTGGTTTTTCCTGATCGATCACGGTCCGGTATTTTCAGTGTGATCTGGGGTATTACTGCAGAAGAATATGTATTCACGATTATGGATTTAAGAAGATGCTGTTGTTATGTAGATGACTTGACTAACATAAAAGATACTACTTGTCAAGTCGCAAGAAGGACTTACAGACAGACATTAACATTTTGGAAAAGACAGTGGAGCGGTTTCCCGTTGCCTTCTCCATGACTTTAAATTCAGAACTGTCTTTCTTCATTTAGGGCAGGGTCGAACATGGCTCTCCACAGATTCCTTTTATCTGGAAACTGTCATGACTTCTTCAGAAGATAATAAAGTCTGGAAACCTAGCTACGGAGCAAGACGGTTTGGTCACCCTGCAACCATCTACATTGACCAGGTATGTTAGGACACAGAATGCCATAATGAGATTCCAAGCTTGATGTAAGACCGTGATGTTTGGCGTTATAGACTCATCAATGTCCGAGCTAAGCTCGACCGAATAATAATTCCAATTACTAATTAATTCCAAGGTGGCGAAGAGAAGAGAACGATTCATACATTTCCCGTTACAAACACAACTGGAATTGAAACTCAGCTCTCCGATATCCAATTTCTAGCCTTTATTCATTACAGCACCCGTACACCCAACCTTACTGCTCCTGATACACCAATCTAAGTACTGACTATGCACAATGTTGCTTAACCCTCGGTGATTGTTTGACCGTGATGAGGCCGTAACCCCTTTCTCCGTAGAAGGTTACTGAGTGAGATATATAATACAAATACAACAGGAGGTGGTAGGAAGTGGAGGGCATGAGGATTCGAAGGATATATAAAGATAGACTCTTTACTTTAACAGATTAAGATTGTAGTGTTCAAGGAACCATCCATAATGGAGTATATTCTAAAAAGTGGTAGTTCTCGCGGTAATATAAGCCCAAAATTTGTAGTTGTTAAGAGAAAAATCTCTTGAGTTGAACTTTCTCCGTATAATTGGAATACCGGGGAAATGAGGACGATTCGATACTGTGGTAGTTCTCATGGCTTGTTCTAGCTGTCAAGTTTTAAACTGGTGAACCAAAATGTTGGGGCTCATTTGAACATTTGCAATTGGAAATAGCGACCGAGTTCCAATGGTCTTGCGCGGTTCAGTTTCCTGGGAAAGAGTTTGTAGGGTGAAAAATCAATCATTCCTTTACGAGACTGCTGTAACCTAGAAAGAATTACTGAATAAGAAATAACCAAAACGGAGGTTGGAAAATGAAATGGTAATCTTTATAACATCAACAAAATACAATACTCGCCAGCGGCGTGAAGTAGGTAAACCACTACTAATGATGGACTACTTATACAGCATATTACCCCCACTTACAATAGTGTTCAACGTATTTATGTGGATTGGGACATAATCATTAGTGTTCATAGGTACGGTATATAACGCTATCTTGATTCAGATTCTATCTATCTATCTATCTATCTATCTATCTATCTATCTATCTATCTATCCTCGTATATATGTATGTATTTATGAATAAAAATGACAATAGGAAAACTAGTAATTGCTGACGCGTTTCGTCAAATGTGGACTTTATCAAAGCTAAATACGAAAATGAAATTAATTGAACAAGGTAACTAATAAAGTGTACACAGCAGATTCATGAAATCAAAAGAAAATGGTTGAATACATCAACACAGATATAATGACAATATTCTCCACACATGACAAATACTGACGTTATCTTCAATTAAAAATCTGAAAATAGCGTTTCCAGTTGCTAGGAACATTCTGTTTTTGTTTTTATACAGCAATACATTTTTGAAGAAAATATATATTGCCAGCAATAAAAATCTTGTCGGCATTAAATAACCCATTGAGGTGTTGATATGCCGTAAAACAAACCAAACCAAATCAATCCAAAATCTTAATAATAAATCTTTTTGTACCGTTTTTTTCCGTATGTCTATCCTGAAAAAATGTCTTCCTAAATCTCCCTGCGTCTTAGCCCCGAAGGTCAGTTTGTAGAAAGGTGTTTGCCAAGCCTCACAAACCCCAGTCACGGGACAATCGATACTATATTCCTACATTAATAGCGGACTGTGGCAAGGACGATGCAAAAGGAACACGCTCTTGAACGCAGCCTTGAAGCATCATCCGGGTGCTGGATGTAAACACGTCCTGTGTTGCGACGTCTTCTAGCTTTTGATGGCAGGTACAAATTGTTTCTGATGTGAATTGGTCTAACAAAAATCGAAAAGGGCATAAGACAAGAATGTATCTTCTTGACAGATTTAACCTTTACAATCCTGAGAGAATTAGAAGTTCTATCAGGATTCATTGTTGGCAGTCACAATCTTAGCAACATTATAAATGCAGATGATACAGAATCGATTAGCAGAGACAGAAAGGAAACCCGGCTTTATTGCGACGCTTTTCGAAGCCGATGGTTCCTCTAGCAAAGGGGGAGGTAACGGGTTCAAATCCTGCCAGATGAGAGACTATCTTCAGTTTTTTTCGAGTGCGCAGGTCAGTAGACGAAATACTGTCAAGCAATAACGGCGCGTGTATTCAAGTACTAAAGATACCGTTTAAAGTAATAAAAATAATTAGATTAAACGTTGATTTTATATATGTTGTAGCTTTCTTCTTATAGCACCAGTACCGATACGTTTTGATCAAACCTCGTATATATATATATATATATATATATATATATATATATATATATATGCATGCATATACAGCGTGTCCATAAAGTTCGTGTGCACTTTAAAAAATGTATAACTTTATTTGTATTTGCTATAGAAATAAGTTGTAAAAAGGATTACAAAGAAGTAAATCTATATTTTTTACGGTTTTATTGAAATTTTATTTAAGTGTCCACATGCCATCCATCATTAGCAATACAAAGGGTAATACGATTTTGAAGTTCACGGAAAGCATTTGCCAACTGATGTACAGTAATGCCTGAAATCACATTAGTTATTTTAGCTATACTTAAAACTAGGTACATTAAACTTTATAATATTTTTTTACAGATTATTTCTATCGCAAATACACATAAAGTTTTAATTTTTTTAAAGTGCACAGGAACTTTATGAACCAACTGTATATATACATACATATATATATATATATATATATATATATATATATATATATATATATATATATATATGATTTAAGATTTAAAATTAAAGCCGATATTTTCATATGTCGAAATCGACGGAAGAGTCCATTATCCTTATATATTGCTGTTACACACGATGTATATTCGTTTGGCGAAAAAAATTCAGCAATTACCAAAATGTATTTATCAAGGAAGTGCTTCAACAAAGGATGAAAATTGCAACACCATTCAGTATTCCCTGTCATATAGGGAGGACCGGTATTACAGCACAGTACTCTGTTTTTTGGGGTTTTTTTTTTGTTTCTTACAAGATTTTCCTGTTTCTCAAACGTAGCTTAACTTTTTGCAAATATTGCAAACAGGGAGGTTTCGTTAGAAACAAAGAAAAATGTTACGTAATATCGGTCCTTCTATATGGAATTGAACGGTGGACAATCTTCTCACAGATGACGGACAGACTTGAAGCGACAGAAATGTTGTTCTACAGAAGGATGCTGAGAATGCCATGAACTCGAACATGCGAACAACAGCGAAGTTTTCGAGAAAATGAAAACAAAACAAAAAAAACACGCATATACTTAGAGTCAGAAAGAAACAGTTGAAATATCTAGAGAACGTAATGAGGAAAGTCGGTTTAGCAAATCTGATACTCACAGGACATATTGAAAGCGGAGTGGGGCGCAGAGGAATGCAGCGCATAACGTACCCGACTAGATTGGGTAAATATTTGGGATTAGGACTGATAAAAAATCAAACTCATACTGAGAGCTACAAACGGCAGGAAATTGTAGAGAGACTTGATCGCCTACGTCAGGACGAATATGAGACCATAGAACATTAAAAAGCCGGTTCTCGTCCGCTCACGAAAGTAAAGCTATAGCGAGTCTGGTCAGTACCTTGATGGGTGACCGCTTGGGAATATCAGGTGCTGTGAGCTTGGATGTACGGGACGGGGGTGCAATAGATGACAGCTCGGATTGAAAATTAACCGTGTCTGAATTCCAGTCGAGTTCGTACTCTTGGAAAAGGCGTGAGTCAATTTCTTCTCCCCCAGCTATAGGTTAGATAGCAGGGCAAGCTAGGTCTTATAGCCTGGGTTGGCATCCAGTCTACCGCAGAACGTAATGGTCGCCTACTGCGGGAATTCTTATCTTTAGCCAATCATGAATCGAAGAGAGATGCGATCTATCAAGCGTGTATCACGGATGTCACCCATAGAAGGAGTGCTTGAGTAGAAATGGCAAACCTGTAGTCAATAAGTGTTGCCTTGTGCAACACTGAGATAAATTGTTACTCGTTACTGAGCAGTAACAGAACGACAATTAAAATGACTTTGTGAGAAACTCAGACACAGCACTTGTTTCAGAGCAGTACTTTTGAAATGTCTGAGTGGTCAAATAGTGTGACCATGAGCTTTGATGAGACAGACTATTTAAGTAGACAGCACTTCTCGCAGAGAATTACATGCAATATTGGTTATCACACCGTGCTCAAATATTGTGTCCGTGTGCCAAACTTAGATAATTTAGTAAATTCACAGCACTACTTGTAGAGTTGTGCCTTCGAAATCTATTATGACTGAGTGCTCAAATCGTGCGATCTCGTGCCAGACTCAGATAAATTTGATAAATAGACAGCGACTCTCGCTCAGAGCTGCTCGTGGAAAGTGTTATCCCTGGGTGTTCAATTAGCGCGGCCTTATACCAGACTTAGATAAATTTATCCAATCGTGCCTGTTACGGAACAGTGTTTGCGGGACTTGTCATCACCGAGCTTTTTTGTTGCCTTGTGCCAGACTCCGATATAGTTTGTAAATAGACGGCGCATGTTACATAGTGCTGTTCGGAAGATTGATTCCCTCCGACTGCACAATTTGAGCCGAATTTAGCCCGGTCCAGTTAATTACTCCCTTGTGGAAATGTTCAAATCGAAGGATATCTTTGAATTTCGGTGATTCAACAAGGAAGAAACGGGGCTTAGGGTTACTTGAAAAATCGGATTTAAAATGAACGCAGTTAAATAAGACATGGCTTGTCGAAAGCAGAATTGTGTAATTTCAATTGTAATGTCGCTCTTTTCATTGTGATTTCGTCAGCAGTCCTGGTGATGACGATAAACTACATCCGGCAGCAAGGCCTCTGATCGGGAGGCTTTAATGGAACCACCGCTTAATCGCTGTTGTCCACTCTGACTCGGTGTAGTAGCATCAGTTAGGGTCCCAGCTATGGGCAAATAGTGAACGCCCAAATAAAAACAAAACTATATTAAAGTATAAAAATTGATTTTTATAGTAAAAATACCAGCAATACATTTCTATATGTAAAAATTTAGCAAAAGTACAAATAGTAAAATTATCAAATTACCTCAAACACTCAAGAAAAAATTGCATTAAATGACCCATAAGGTGTTGATATGCCGTTAAACAAACAAATCAATCAAGCAATCGATTTCATCAGTAGAAGAACATACACACTTAATCTATACTGTATTCATACACATGAGCAAAAACAATAATAACGTTCATTTGGAAGTTTCATTTCTACATCTCACTGGGCGCTAGAATTCAAAAGAAAAAGAATTCTTGTTGGAAAATTAATGTTTTTTTTTTTTTTTCCTGACGGCATTGGGGTTTGTTTTATGGACGCAAACCACGAAATGTGAGCTAGTGTTTCATTTGTATGGGAAGATTAGGCGATCTTAATGAAAAACGGACATTGCGTTCTTGAGTTCCGGTCACACCGGAAGCTGTCTATTTTTAATTCACACAATTACCATAAACTATGAGGAAGTTCTGAAGAAAAGCAGTAACAGGGGCGGCAAAAGGCTCCTTCTGTTGCTTCTATAGTTTATTTTTACCCTATTTATTTGTATAGTCGGGGAGCAGTCGAACCGGAAAGTTGTAAAATCACTTGCAAAATTGTGGCACATGGGAACATTAACAATCCCTGTTGTAGTTGGAGCCCTAGGATTGGTTGGAAAAGATTCCAGTAGACTAAATGAAAGGATTCCTGGAAATCCATGCCTTAAGGAAATACAAAAAAAATTTACTCACAAGTACAGCCCACGCTTTACGAAGGGCTTTATCTATGTAAATTTTTTTTTTTTTGTCAGTGGAAAGTGTCATGATGCCATTTCTCACCTTAGGTCCCTGGGCGGGAGCCGGAAAGAAATGTGTAAACGCCGGAAATCAAAGGAAATAAAATAATAATAATAATAGTTTCAACATCTTGAACTGTACTCTAAATGATAATAGATGAATGGATTCTAAGAGAAGAGAGCTTCTTTCTAAGCATAACATGCATTATCCAAAGGCTGATGCAGACCTTCTATGCATACCTGTAAAGATATATATATATATATATATATATAATATATATATATATATATATATATATATATATATTTTCCATTTCAAACTGAGATATGCTTTCTTACTGTCTCTCTCAATGACCCACCCGATTATTTCTCACACCGCCATTTCCTTTTTTGTACTGACCAAATGGCATATATATATATATATATATATATATATATATATATATATATATGTGTGTGTGTGTGTGTGTGTGTGTGTGTGTGTGTGTGTGTGTGTGTGTGAAACTATATAGAAAATAGGAAGGAACTGGTTAGGTAAAATAATCCAAAAGTCCTTAGTATTTTAGTTATTATTTTTAAAAATAGTGCTCGATACAAAAGTAGAGCATAAATATAATTATTTATTTAAAAATATGATTCCAAATCGCGACATAAGAAGTCCCATGTTTCAAAACAAGAGCCGAAAACTTCAATATAATTATTTAAATTAAATTGAGTTAAAGTAAGCTCTGTTCCATCTTCAAGCGAAGTGTTTCTGAAATTTATGTGTTTTAAAAATTGAAATCAAAATTTCCATGGTAACAGCTAGGCCGAATTGTTTAAGTTGGGTAGGCGGGTATTGGGTGTTAATAATAAGTATCAGTATAGAGTTACTTTCGTAGATGTCAAGTCAGGGAAAGGCGAGGGTGTCTCAATTTGAAACGGAAGATGTATAAACCCTAGTCTAATTTGCATGACTATGGAGATTTATTTATTTTTTTATTTTTTTTTTTTATGAAAGGGATTTGTGCATATAAAAAAACTGTCGTAACGTTTGTTTTTTGACGACTTCATAAAGGGTTATCTTTTTTAGGTATTTAAACTATTTATTTGGGCTATGGATTATGAAGGGTGTTATATTGTATGCATGTTTTTTAGTTAATTATTCAAACCATGAATCTGATGAGTGGGCTATGGATTGAACAAGTTATTATATTGTATGCTAGTTTTTAGCTAATAATTCAAACCAAAAATCTGATGATGCCTACAAAAAACCGTTAACTCGTGTCTATTGTTTAATAAGCTTCTAAATAATAATAATCTATTAAATATTTAATCCTTGAAAATGGCTAAATGTATAGCCGAAAGCGCTAGGAATAAAAGAACATTCGGACAATTTTTATATAATTTATCATCCGAAAATAACAAAAAAATATTAGATCGCATGAGAAATTGTATAAAAAAAACTAAATAAAAAGCATCCGTCGTATTCAATGAAATGTGCATGAAAGAAGAATTGCTACCTACACACACACACACACACACACACACACACACACACACACACACACACACACACATATATATATATATATATATATATATATATATATATATATATGTCACATTATTATGAAATGGACAAAGTCCGACTATTATTTTAAGACATTTTTTTATTTAAGACTTTTTTTATGTTTACACGTTCTTTTTTAGAATTGTCGGACTTTGTCAATTTCATAAGGTATGACGACATGTTTTTTATGTTTATACGTTCCTTTTTATAGATATAAATGTCGGACTTTGTCCATTTTATAATGTGTGACGTCATTTGTTTACATTTGATACGCCATGAGCAGATATGAATGTACGTGAGAGATTCGTAGAAGATTGTAGTTCAAATACAGTAAGTTCGACCTTCCTAACCGAACGCTCCGCTGTGGCCAAATCGGTTAAAGGCACGTCAAGCTAATGACGGTTCCGTATAGCATACAGGTTCGATTCCTGTCGGAGGACGAATATTTTCTGTGAAAATTTCTCGGACATTCAGGCCCGTAAATGTTGTTTAATACTGTTTATTATAAACAGAGCATTTACTTAAATATTTGTATCTATAAAAAGAATGTATAAACATAAAAACGTATTCAAATAATTGTATATAAACGTATTCAGTAAATTTCATAATGTGTGACGTCATTTGTTTGCATTTGGATACGAATCGAGCAGATATGAATCTACCAGAGAAAATCATGGAGAATTGTAGTTTAAAAACAGTAAAATCGACTTTGCTAACCGGAACGCTCATCTGTGTCTCAATCAGTAGAAGCACGTCAGGCTATATAAGGGTTCTGTATAGGATACAGGTTCGATTCTTGTCGGAGGACGCATATTTTCTATTAAGATTTCTCGGACATTCAGGCCGGTAATTGTCGTTAATACTGTTTATTATAAACAGAGCATTTACTTAAATATTTTATTTAGAAAAAGAACGTAAAAACCTAAAAATTGTCTTAACACACACACACACACACACACACATATATATATATATGTATATATATGTCAACGTAAACCCCTATTAATCTGGCAACCTACTTCGATCGATTATACCTAGACCTAACATCTTGAAAATTATATTATTTGTCTAAATATTCCTAATTCAGTCAGTTTAGGTAAGTGCCATACGTAATACAGATTTAGTAGATCATGTAATTTTTGATAGATGACGGACAAAGCAGGAGGTTGCTGCTCCTATCTGCGATAGACTGGCTGCCAGCCAGGGCTATAGCATCCAATCCGTCCTGCTATTCAACCCTTAGCTGGGGAGGAGATAAGAAATTAATTTATACCTTTCCCAAATGT